GCGGAACCATTAGAAGGTAAGTATCAGAGGAGGACTTTCGCAACTCCACTTAAGCCTCAGCAATTAAAGGTGTGTGCATGTGTGAAGTTGTGGCAACTGATTTAGTAATGCACATGAGCACTGTCATAATTCAATATTTTCAATAGCGAATTCATTATTCGATTCAAAAGATGCCACACATTCCAAGACTAGTTATCTGAAAGATATCGTATTCAAAATCACTCAATGCGAGCAACAGGTTTGCTCCTTCAGAACCGTAAACATATCCTAGAGTGAAGTAAGACAAAAGATTAATCTTTATCCAATTCAGGACCATGCGATCCGGCAACGAATCGTGGTTGCGATCGATCGCTAAATCAGGTCTGCGTGAAGAAGGACGGCAGAAACTTATGCACATGCCCACCTGGTTTTCAGAAAAATCCAGTTACTCAGGTAAGAATCTGATCATTGCATGTCGTTGATTGATATCCATGATCTGTCCATTGATAACGAAATCCATTTGATTTAGTGTTGTGGTGGTGATCTGTGTAATCCAGAGCTTGTCTCATCATGCCCACATCCGGACGTTTGCAAAATCACTCCATTCGGCAACCACAGATGTGCTTGCCTCGACTACTACTACAGAGATCCAAAAACTGGAGCGTGCAGTATGTTTCCACATTCTGTTCCGAAGTTGTTTTTTTATACTTTCAAACTGAGCATAAAAAACAACTGAATGAATACCTTAACAATTCCATGAGATGTTCAATGAAAAGTTGCTCGTATATTCCTGATGTGTGAAACCGTATGATTTCAGAGGGCAGTCAACCACCTGCAGTTTCACCAGCACTGGAGGAGTGTGATGCAGACAGACCATGTCCTGAACATGAAGAATGCGTACGAACCAAAGCTGGTGGACACACATGTCAGTGCGCGTAAGTTCCCGCAGATCTCAGCATTCGAGCGTTGTCATTGTTAAAGGAGCCATAAAATTGAGCAAATGATCTATTGTTCAGGTCAGGCTATGAACGCAACTACAGAAGCGATAAATGCCAACTGCCTGGCACATGTGATCCGACAATTCCGGAATCTTGTGATCAACGGAAACGGGAACGCTGCCTACCGGATGGCGACAAATACACATGCCAATGTGAAGCCAACTATAAGAGACATCCGATCACAGAAGTTTGCTGTGAGTTTTAGGATACACGATGTGCATTTTATGAATGTCTAACAGTATAATAGTTATCTGAGACAGTACTAATCTTGGATTCGTAACATTGGAAAAACACCGATAATTGCCAATTACAAATACGTTCGCACATTCGGAAACATTGTTTTTAAGGGGTAAAACCAATGAAAACATGTGCTTCGAATTGAAATCACTCCGAAATGGTGTGTCACTTCATATTTTTCCTCTGTTGTTTCAGTGATTGACGAGTGTACAGCTGGAACGCATGATTGTGATCAAAATGCAAAATGCTTCGATACGGATGAAAGTTTCATCTGTACATGTAATGAAGGTTTCACTGACGAGAGTCCCGATCCATCGCAAAAACCTGGACGTGTCTGCAAACAACGTAAGTTGTCAATAACT